CTATTTGGGTCAAACCATTTTCGACCGGACTCGACTCAAATCCGACTCAACCCACCCATTTGACAGGTCTAATCAATAATCATGATGTGCTAACATGATATCTTTCACTCACTTCCGAAGACGCCGGTGAGGGGGCAACTCGTTAATGAAATGGTCCTTTCTTGTCTCGGTTATTTTTCGATCGATAGTAAAGCGGGCAAAATTAGAGCATGGTTAAAAACGGATTTTCATAAATTAAGGCACACACATTCGATCACAAAGAAAGGACTGCACCAGTCAGGCCCAACCTAACTACAAAGCGGGTTCACATTGAAACACAAAAAGCCCAAAAAGCACCATCCTTTCAATCCAAATTTCCCCGCCAAAACCACTCTCTCTCTCTCTCTCTCTCTCTCGCTGCTTGGGCGTGGGTGATGCCATGGAGAGAGGTCTGATCTCGGTGGATCGGTGGGCGGAAGGGAGCCAAGCCTACTTCCTGACCCACCTCCACGCCGACCACACCCGGGGCCTCACCTCGGCCTGGTCCAGGGGCCCCCTCTTCTGCTCCCGCCTCTCCGCCAAGCTCCTCCCCTCCAAATTCCCCGGCTTCGACCTCTCCCTCCTCCGCGTCCTCGACGTCGGCGCCTGGCACTCCCTCTCCCTCCTCTCCCCTTCCTCTGCCGCCGACACCCTCGTCCGCGTCATGCCCCTCGACGCCCACCACTGCCCCGGTAACCGCGCCGAGCTCCTCGCTCCTCCCCTGCTTGCTTTAATTCCCGAATGGGGTCGTCCAGGCCGCGATTGAATTGTTGTGTTGATTGCTGGATTGCCTTTTGAAGAAGGGTTTTTGGCTGTTTTGGTTGATGGGTTCGTTTTCGGGTAGGTGCGGTCATGTACTTGTTTAGCGGCCACTTTGGGAGCTTGCTTTATACCGGAGATTTCCGCTGGGAGACGACGAGCGAGAAGGCAAACAGGTCGCGGGACATGCTCGTTAAGGCCCTTAATGGAAGCAGAGTGAACGCACTGTATCTGGATAATACCTATTGCAATCCTTCCTATTCTTTTCCTTCTCGTAGAGATGCTGCTCAGCAGGTGCTCTGGCTTTGTACTTTGTGCTGATTTCCGTATCTTTCGCTTGTTTCTTGCAAAGAGTGGCTGCCCTATTTCTTTCCAGCCTGTACATGTCGTTGCTTGGTTAACATGGTTTTCATCACTGCCCCATCCTTAGTTTGTGAAGCTTTTTGAAGTATCAATTTCTGGAATCTCTTGTGTAGAAATCAACTGATTATTAAGAGAACGGTCATGGTTTGTCGCCCTTTATTCAGATACCGGCTATAGTTGAGCTTCTGCACATGTTATATGATCCTTTCGGGTTCTTAGTGGATGGTGATTGTTTGTTTAGGAGAGAAACGACATTGAAGTGCATGAGCTTTTTAAACAGCTTGTGTCTATCTGCTGTTTCAAGTCCTTCCATCAAAGTGTTAATCCACAGAATAATTTCCAGTCTTAAGAAATTCCGCCTCAGTGCTCATTTCCATAAGAAATGCCTAAGATGTATTTTTCCTGTGAACCCCATGTGTGTGAGGTTCTCTGATATGGTATTGAGAGGTCGTGACATTATTTATTCATACTTTTAGAATAGTTTTCTCATAGCTTTGACTTTGTTAAAACCTGGTTGCAGGTTGTTGATATCATCGCTTCTCATCCTAAGCACCATGTCATCATTGGGATCGACACATTGGGCAAAGAAGATCTTCTGGTTCACATTGCCCGGGTGCTCAAAATAAAGGTATGTCAAAGATGCTCTCTTTTAAGCACACCGATGTAAAATAACTTGATTTTACTTTGGAGACCCATTAGATTGAATAAATAATACTGACTATCAAATTCGTTCCACTTTATTGATTCAAAATGCATCAAGTGAACCGATTCACGTGATCTGCACATGGTTGAGTATTGAGTCCATAAAAGATGATTTACCAGTGCATTACGCATTTTGAATGCCTATCGGGTACAATATGGCATTAACTTGCTTCATCTGCTACCTATAATTTTAGTTTCAGTATCTAATCAAACTTGAGACCGTGTTGCAGAGAAAAACACAAAAAGCATATTTCTTAACATGTCTGGCCTGATATTCTAGGAACATTTATTCATTCCTCTTTTGTTGAATAGTTAATTGTCATAATAGAGAAAACATATATGACTTATCTTCGATCGAATTGTTATAACAGATATCAGGCATATTAATTTACTGTTATACAAGGAAGAAAATTGCTGCATCATTCTTTGACATGCTTTGCTTACTCTGGTATTTTGACTTTTTTCCTTCAAGATTTGGGTGTGGCCAGAACGGTTGCAAACGATGCATATGCTTGGTTTTGATGAAATATTCACAACTAAAACTTCTCTCACCAGAGTCCGAGCTGTTCCTCGCTATAGCTTTACCTTGGATACTTTAAAGGGATTAAATAAGATGCATCCGACCATAGGAATCATGCCTTCTGGTCTTCCGTGGGCCTTAAAGCCACTCGATAGAAATGAGAATTTCTTTGATTCCTTAGCAAGGTCATACTACAATAACAAAGCACATGAGGTTGCTTCCATGGAAGAAAGGTTGCATCCAGAAATTTATACCGTTCCATATTCCGATCACTCTTGTTTTATGGAGCTTCATGAATTTGTACAACTTGTCCAACCTATTAACATGAGGGGCATTGTTTCATCATCATCCTGCTACATTGATCCCTCGTACTATTTTGGCCACTGCGACGGAGTGTACCAAACATTCCAGAGAGTACAGCATAAAGGCAAAGAAAGTGGGAAGGAACATGTAAGGGTTGTTCGGGCAGAAGCCTCAGTTGAAGTCAATGATTTGATAGATTCTACGAGAAAAGGACGAAAATGTGGTACTGTTGGAGTTTCTGGTGTTTATATGAGTAGAGCGAGTGCATCGAGACGAAGACGGCGTGGTGCAAAAATTATGGAAGATATCTCTGCTGATTGATCTTGCAGCACTTTCTATGAGCATGCTTATTTATTGGTTCCTGCTTCAGCAAGTTGGACTTGAAAATTCACTTGTGAAGTTATATATCCATATCTAAGTTGTAGTCAAAAGCGATCCTTCCAGCTTGGATCATTCTCAGTGCCATTAAGATCGAAATGGCTCAGCATTGCTGATCAAATGGCGTAAATATTGCGACCCTTAAATGTTCATCCACATTCATGGAAGAGATCATTCACCTTGTCCGAATCCCTCATTTGGAAGCCGCATCCCAGTAGCAACTGACTGCCACTTGGGTTGCTATGCAGTTCTCTGTCTTTGCATCTTTCATTTCTCACATGCTAAGAAGAGAGGTACCTTCTGCTTGGTTCTTGAGGCTTTTTTCAGAGTCTTTTAACTCTAGTAAAGCTTTCAAAGATGAAAATGTGGCTAGGAATATTTTATGCTCTCAAATGCTTCTAGATGTTCATCTTTATGTGGTCCATCAAAATTTTCTAGATTTTGAAGGCTCATTCAATGTACAAAAACCGGAGATATAGAAAAAGAGAAGTGCACTTTAAATCACTACAGCAGTTTGTTCTCTATCAATTGTTTCATGAACTGCAATTAGCCAGTGAGAACAGGGTCGTCATTAGCGATTTTGTAAGCCAGGTTTGAAGCCTTTGAGTTATCGCGTGAAAGCAGTTTCTATAGGGTTTACCTAGGGGAGTTGAAGGTAATAGAAGGAATTGGTCATGTTAAGGCAAATGGAGCAGCGTCATAGTCAATGTTGTTGGTCCAACTCTCCAACATCTTAGTGACCGGACACTTGGTTTTTCTTCCTTCTCTGTTTGACTAAAACTGGTCAAAAGTATCTACCTTGTTTTGCCAATGGCCAGTCTGCCTATGTTTCTAGTCGTGCTCGATCTTGAGTTTTGGTTGACCTGAGTAAAAAAATTCATCGGGTAGACCTTAGCAAAGCAAAGCCCACATGATCATGACACAGTGTCGTGACGGCTTTTCGATCATTGTAGTCACGGAGATAGCTAATCTGGCACCTTAACTAAGCCTGCCTGTTTTGGGACCCAACCGGTTCTTTCAATATCTCTGTTCACGGTGCAAATTTTGAGAATGTGGAAGTTCAACATATGTTCTTTTAATGGGGTCATGGAGTTTATAAATTGCGCAATCACACCCTCGTGTCTCTCCTTCCCTAATTTTTAGCAAATCAAACTGGTTACGTCAATCATCGCAATCAGAAATTTTGCTCGCACCATACTCTGATATTGTTCGTATTGGCTAGATCTTCTCACAGCGACATCCATATTGGTGCGCAGATTTTGATTAAATTTTATCCACATCATATATTAGCGGTGTCACTTTAGGTGAATTTGGTTTGATTTGATATCGGAGGGATTTGTTTAACATAACGGAACTTTAATTAGACGATTAAAAAAAAGACTTGAAAGCATAGAGACAGAAGACAGGAGTTTTCATTTTCCAAAACAGAAGACAGGTGCGAGTCGTAGTAATTACACGATTAGCGGCATTAATGAAGCCCACTTGCTCCGCACCAGCCGAAAGCGTCTCCGTCGTGCGTGGGCGGAAAACGACGGGTCTACCTCTTGCCAGAGAAGACAGAAAAAAACAGAGGAAAAATGAACCAGAGGGCGACCCGCGTGAGCTGACCCTTTCTTTCAACAGCAAGATATTAAGTGGACTCCAAGCGCCACGTCAACGGCTGACGTGGCGTGCATATTTTACTCTCATCCACTAACAAATGGACACGTGGTTGCTGATGTGTATTAAAAAAATGACGCGGAATTTCTTTTTTTTTTCCTCCCTTCCTTCTTCAACAACGCACTCCTCCTTTCATCTGGGTTTCCATGGACGGCGGCGGCCGGGATGGAAGGCCGCTCATCCACTAGCAACGGCGGCGTGACTTCTCGTCACAGATCTGAAGATGCGCTGGAGGGGTGGCCATGGACGGTGGCTCGTCCATAAATCGCGCGGAGGTCGGCCATGGACGAGCGTTCCGTCTTCCTCTGTTCGTCCACGAACGAACTCCAAATATGGAGCAGTAGGCATCTTGAAACGCAAATCGACAAAACCCCACGCAGTTCACAGAACTTCATTCCCATAACTTCATCCCGTCAGTAGGGTCAAATGACTCGAGCCACCGTCCATGTCTGCGAGATTTTTTGAAAGAACGCCAGATTTGGCCGCGGAGGTCGTCGCTTAGATCTGTGGACGAGAGACCGTCCACGGCCGACCGCTACCCTGCATCTCCATATCTGTGGACGAGCGCTCGCGGCCAAGACTTAGCCGCCGAGACAACGGAGAGGGTGGACGCGGAGGTTGGCCTGGACGCGGTGATCGACCGTCGCTCAACAGCTAGATCTGGTCTGCTGCTTAATAGCTTTCAGCTCGAGTCTTGGCTCGTCCATGGTTGCCGGCGACAAGCTCAACAACTTTGCCGCGCACAGTGGCGGTCACGGTGGGGCGGTGGCTCAATGATGGTCGTGGCGGCGGATTGGCGGTGGAGATAGCCAAGCCCAGCGGAGCGGAGGTTGAAGAAGGAGTGCTGAAGAAGGAAGAAAGAAAAGAAATTCCACGTGCCATGTGTCCATTTATCAGTGGATGAAAGTAAAATATGCATGCCACGTCAGCCGTTGACGTGGCACTTACAAATCATTGGATATTTTCTCGCTTCGAATCCATACACGTATTGATTTTGATTATGCCCTCCAAAAAAAAGAGCAAGGCGTTGAAAGTTGGGCGTTGATCTGCCTCGGACCGTTTCCCCTTGATCACGGCAACAAGATTGAACGGCTCGAATGCGGGTCCGGTTCACCGGATTCGACGACCCGAATCGGGGCCCGCAGCAAACTGTGAAATTCAGTACAGAGCACGCGAGAAGTGGGCATGATTATCTGTTTGATTTCGTCCACTATCTTTGTTCTTTGGACACAAGGAAAGAAAAGCACCGCACTTGAAGGGGTGCACAATATTTTCTTGGGTATAGGCGGCATAGGAAAAGTACGAATAAATGGGGGGTGGTTCATGTGGCTAGATCATCCGTCGACGACTCGAAGGAGGAGGGGCCGACGTAAACAATAGTTTCTTCTGTCGTTTGTCTTCACACGTTTTCTAGCTACGTTTGTCGTGCAGCGTGGTATGATATGGGGTTTGACCCGGCCAAAGGTGGCCGCGGACATCAGAGGATTTGCCCCCGAATCTCTCGAAAATCTCCTTTCACATTCCGAGGATCCGAGTTGCCGCCGAGCTTCAGCGCCCTTTCTTGACTTTTCTTGCGGTGAAGAGGTGGTGAGAACCGAAGAGGCTCCCCTACATTTTCTTGACTTGTCGTGATCAGCTTCCTATTTGCTTCTTTTCTTGGATTGGGCTTACCTCTGCTTAGCCATCCCTCTGACCCTGATTGTGTTTCTTGATCTTTGACCCGTTCTTCATCTCTCCCTCCCTCCCTCTCTCTCTTTCTGTGGACACAACTCAAGCAGAAGCCTTCAATTCTCGGATGTGTTTGCTGCTTCGAGTACAAATATCTGATAGCCTGTCCCAGGAGGAACTTGCGCGGCCATGGATAGGAAAAGCGGCAGCAGTCCATGGCTGTTCACACTCCCAAGCTTCTTGCTCTGCTTCTTATCTCTCTGCCCCACCCAGCTCTGTCTTGGCTCCGACACCGACACCATCTCCGCTAACCGGTCCATCTCCGGCAACCAAACCTTAGTCTCCTCCGGCGGCAACTTCACGCTCGGCTTCTTCACACCGGGTAACTCCACCTACTCCTACATAGGCATCTGGTACAGCAAAGTCAGCGTGCAAACCGTCGTCTGGGTCGCCAACAGAGACAACCCCATCACCGACAGGTACTCCACTGAACTGAAGATCTCAGGTGTCAATCTTGTTATGGTCAACGACTCCCGAGTCCCCGCTTGGTCCACGAATCTGAGTACTTCTTCATCTGGGTCGAGCTCCACGGTGGCGGTTCTTGGGGACGACGGCAACTTCGCTCTCAAGGACGGACCGAATTCTTCCGTGACTCTGTGGCAGAGCTTCGATCACCCGACCCACACGTGGCTTCCCGGTGCGAAAATCGGAATCGACAAGCGCACGAACACGAGTCAGCTCTTGACATCATGGAAGAACGCCGAGGACCCCTCGCCAGGTTTGTTCTCTCTCCAGCTCCAGCCATCCAGTGAGTACTTCATATGGTGGAATAGGTCTGAGCATTACTGGACCAGTGGGACGTGGGACAATCAGTCGAAAACTTTCTCTTTGGTCCCTGAAATGAGATCGAACTATATTTACTATTTCCAATATGTGGACAATGAGAACGAGAGCTATTTCACCTATTCAGTGTACCCCACCTTCAACACCATAACAAGGTTTGTGATGGATCTTTCTGGGCAGATCTGGCAGGTGTCCTGGTTGCCTTCTTCCCAGTCGTGGAACTTGTTCTGGTCTCAGCCGCGGCAACGATGCCAGGTGTATAGACTTTGCGGGCCTTTCGGTGTTTGCAGCGAGACTACCGACAATTTCTGCAGCTGCTTGCCGAGGTTTAGCATAAGCTCTCTGAGGGACTGGAATCTGAGTGATTGGTCTGGCGGTTGCAAGAGGAATTCGGACTTGAATTGTGCGGCAAATGCTTTGAATGCGGAGAAAGACCGTTTCTGGCCAATGTCTAACATGAAATTGCCTGATAATCCCCAATCTTTAGATATTGGGAGCGATAAGGAATGCCAAGCTGCTTGTTTGGACAATTGCTCTTGCACCGCTTATGCTTTCGAGGATAATGCCTGCTCAGTTTGGATTGGGGATCTCTTCAATGCGCAACAGCTCACACAAGGTGATACCACTGCAAAAAGCTTCTATCTCCGGCTTGCTGCCTCAGACGTTGAGGATCCAAGCAGGAAGAGCAACATAACTGCGATAGTTGCAGGGTCTGTTAGCGCTGCGGTAGCGATAGTAGCCATTGTCTTGTTTGGCGTTTGGAGATGGAGGAGAAGTGCAACTGTGACAACAAAGACAGTGGAGGGTTCACTGATAGCCTTTGCATACCGGGACTTGCAAGTAGCAACAAAGAATTTCTCAGAGAAGTTGGGTGGGGGCGGGTTCGGTTCAGTTTTCAAAGGAACATTGCCTGATTCAAGTCACATAGCGATCAAGAAGCTTGAAAGCATAAGCCAAGGAGAGAAGCAATTCCGAACAGAAGTAAGCACAATCGGCACCATCCAGCATGTGAATCTTGTCAGGCTTCGTGGGTTCTGCTCTGAAGGTGACAAAAGGCTGTTGGTCTATGATTTCATGCCAAATGGTTCCTTAGAATATCATCTCTTTCATACCAAGGACTCGAGGACCTTGGATTGGAAAACGAGGTACCAAATTGCTTTGGGAACGGCTCGAGGTCTGGCTTATCTCCATGAGAAGTGTAGAGATTGCATCATACATTGCGACATCAAGCCAGAGAACATCCTTCTAGATTCTGAATTCTGTCCAAAAGTGGCAGATTTTGGCCTGGCAAAGCTTGTTGGCCGAGATTTCAGCAGGGTCTTGACGACCATGAGAGGCACAAGAGGGTATCTTGCGCCGGAGTGGATCTCCGGAGTGGCCATAACAGCAAAAGCTGATGTTTATAGCTATGGAATGATGCTCTTTGAATTTGTGTCAGGAAGGAGGAACTCGGAGCAATCAGAAAATGGGGCCATCAAGTTCTTCCCAACATGGGCTGCTAGTAAGATAACCGAAGGAGGCGACCTGCTTGATCTTTTGGACCCAAACTTGGAGACAAACGCTGATCCTGAAGAGCTATTGAGGATTTGCAGAGTCGCTTGTTGGTGTGTCCAAGATGAGGAAACTCGCAGGCCATCAATGGGGCAGGTTGTTCAAATACTCGAGGGGGTGTTGGATGTGAACGTGCCCCAGATACCGAGAGCCCTTCAACTGTTTCTTGATAATCAGGAGCATGTAGTTTTCTTCACTGAGTCATCATCGTCTAACCAGAGTTCCCAGACGAAGAGTCATACCTCAACTGCTTCCTTGCAGAAACAAAATAGTTCATCTTCAACAAAGTCCGAGTCTTGAGGAATATAAGATAAATGCTCTGGACAAGTAGTGCTTCAGTTAGGTAGTGCATATTCTCTTCTGCTTTTTCTGTAGTCAAGAAAGAATCTCAGCATTTGGGGATTGGCTTTTTCTGTAGTCAAGAAAGAATCCAGCCAATGTATGTATTACCAGCAGATCCTTTTGTTGGAGCTGTAGGATGTTAATGCCCACCCTGTTGTTTCCATGGCATTTACATCTCTTCTAAAGTCAAATTTTTGTGGATCGCCTCCTCGCTCTATGTTTCGAATATGAGTAATGCTATAGAATACTCGAACCTTTTAGCAAAACTGATTTGTAAAGTGATGGATGAGACTTCTGTTGGGTGCCCGCATTAATTTGTTTATTAATTACCCACTAATATTTGTGACATTGCTCAAAAGTATTGCAAACCAAATTCAGTATCTCAACGTTACTTGTTAAAATTCTCCACTGTTTGTTCTGGTGGGAAATTGATTGGGTTCTCATTTCATTCAGGTTGATCCAAACAGTATTTTCCATTGCAGCGTGGACTAAATACAAGTCCAAGTCCACTTCAATGTATCTTAAAGGAGCCTGTTTTTGAAGGCTTAGATTTGATTCTTAGTTCATAATCTATTCATATCAAGGCTAATCCAGTTGGGCATTTGCAGTACCATAATCCCCTCACTTTTTTCCAGGCTTTCTGTCATTTGTTGTCCCTTTCCCATTACCACCTTTTCTTTCCTTTTCCTATATTACAGTCCATTAAACCCTTTCGATTTGACGAGTCGTTTCACTTTTCCTACCGCAGTAATTTTCTCAATACCATCTGATCGTTAATCCTTCTCAGGTGCGAGAGGTGCCCCTGTGAAGTCTAACTTGCTTCAGCAATCAAAAAAGTCTAGTCGGCTTCTCCAATAAGAAAGTCTAACCGGCTTCTATCATTATTTGGTTGTGCTACTGCAAATCAAGCTTTTCATCACTGTGATGTAAATTGCGGATTTAATAACAGTTGGTCTCTCTACTTTTGCTCAAAAATCAGAATCATTCCTTTAATTTTTTCTAATTCAAAAACGTTCTTTGCACTTTTAGAAAGTGCCATCGGTCGTCCCTTTGTCGGTCCGGCGATGGAATTTGTAGTGTGACATTAACCTATATTTTAAAATGGAAATTTTCTTTTTATCAACCTAAAAAAACGTGGATTTTTCATTTTTTTTTTGCTAACGTGGATTTTTTTTTCTTTTTTCAAATGAAGACTTTTTTCAAATATTACCATATAAAAAAACCCACAAAATCTAATGCCCATAACAATACAAAAACTATCATTCGTACCCACTCAGGACTTCTAATTGAGTGGCTATGGCTGTGAGCTTCGTGGCTCAAAACTCAAGTGAACATGGCTGCTGCAAGCTCGAAGCTCATGTGGCAATGCCGCAAGCTCGAAGATCAAGTGGCCATGGCTCAAGCTTTGCGGCTCGAATAGACCTTAGGGTCATGGCCATCTGCGAGCTTGAGCTTAATGGCCATGGCCGCCGCTAGCTTAGAGTTGGAGCTCGTGATTATGGTGGCCGTAATGGAGCTATCTCTCAACTATTTTTTTTTTTAATGTTTATGTTGTCTACACGCAATTATGTGAGCAAAATATAGCACGACACATGTGCTTTGGCATCCATGTCTTGACTTGCAAGAAAAAAAGTATAACATACGGATTAACGGTGATACTTTCTAAATAATAGATAAATGCTTTAAAAAAAAAGTAGAGGAAGTTTTTTATTTTTGGACAAAATATAAGGACAACAGGTGACAGTAATCTTGAAAGGAAAGTTACAAGTGTACGGGAATAGATAAAACAGTAAAA